TGTACAATAAACATTAATACGTGTATTGTAGCTTCACATAATGGTAGTTTATGCTGGTGAAGATGTGTTCTTGCAGCACACAAACAGAAACTGACAAGCAAACACTTTGCATATTGGTAGGATCGAAGGACATCTATTATCCATTAAATAATAGAAGATACCAGGAGTAGCACTCAATGCAAACCACAATATGAGCTAGTCAGACCTCGAAAGGAAGACCAACAAAGAGATTTAAAGGGAACATATAGAAGTTGTATATTCCATATGAAAGTTGGAAAAGTCATAATCTATATAGGTATCATCCATATGCACTATTTAAGTCATAGAAAGGACAGTTCTTGGGAGGGGGCCCTTAACCAATCTTACAAACTCAGTCATAAGGCAATAAAAATGACCCCACACTTAAATGTTGCAGAACCATTTTCAGCTAGTCATTATAAGGTGACCAATTCACAGCTGTGACTATGAAACTTTCAGGTCCAAATATACATACGTTGTGCAATTAGGGTCACAGAGAAACATTCTTTGCACATTGTATAGCTGGGTATGTTGATGTAGACTCACCAAAGTTGTTTTTCCTTCAAAGATGAGCAGTCCTGCTATGAAACCGTTAAAAATGACTCGTATACAAGATTTTAAAACCTTAGAAGTACATTGCAGACCTGCTTAATACATTTGCCAAAATGAACATGTGTTTACTTGGTTAGATTACATACCTTAGAGGAGAGATCTGTAACAGGTAGCTCTCCATCTGTTGTGCAATAACAGCATCCCATAGTGTTTTGTCAGCAAGGTTATATTGTCATTTGTTCATAATTTGGCAGAGCATCGGTTACCCGGCTGCAATGAGAACCAAAATACCTGGGGAGACACCTGGCTGCTATCTGTACCAAAACACACACCTGCCAGTCTGCTATTGTTACCATAACAGCTGGACAGCTACCTGACTGCCTTTTGTACCTAAACATCTGTGCAGCTATAAAACCGCTACCTGGCCTACAGGACAAAACTGATGGTTTAATATTTTTGTACAAAACCCTATTAACTCTCACCAGGATATGTTCTAAAAAGTTATATAAAGAAAAATGTAATCTAAAGATGCTGCACTTTTGTTGGCGTTCTTTAAGGGATCACTATAGGGTCAGGAACACAAACATGTATTCCTGACCCTATAGTGTTAAAACCACCATCTAGCCCCCCTGGGCCCCCATGCCTCCCTAAAAATAGCAAAATCTTACTTTTATTCAAGCCTGAAGCTGTAGCTCTGCATGCTGTTTGACTCAGAATATTCAATAGTTAAAACCTGTGTGCTGACATCATCAGAAGTGGTAGCCGAATCCAATCACAGTGCTTCCCCATAGGATTGGCTGAGACTGACAAGGAGGCAGATCAGAGGAAGAGCCAGCATGATTCAAACACAGCCCTGGCCAATCAGCATCTCCTCATAGAGATGAATTGAATCAATTAATCTCTATGAGGAAAGTTCAGTGTCTGCATGCAGAGGGAGGAGACACTGAATGTTTGGATGCATTTTAGGCAGCCATGACCCAGGAAGGATCTCTAACAGCCATCTAAGGAGTGGCCAGTGAATTTATCACTAGGCTGTAATGTAAACACTGCATTTTCTCTGAAAAGACAGTGTTTACAGCAAAAAGCCTGAAGGTAATGATTCTACTCACCAGAACAAATACAACTAGAAAAGCTAAAATTTCTGGGGAAATTGTGTGAAGTGTTCTTGCCTCCACCAGTAGTCTACAACTAGGGATCGAGCATTTATCGGTTTTACCGATATTATCGGCTGATATTCGGTACTTTCGGCAATATCGGTATCAGCCACTAAAGATACCGATATTGCCGATATTGATAGAGTGAGAAATGCATTTCAACTTTTATTTATTTATATAGCACATTTAATTGCAACGTTGTTGCCCAAAGTGCTTCACAGTTACATTAAAACATACATTTATAAAAACATTAGCAGGTGTACAAAAGGCCCTGTCTATGACATCACTTGCTGCTGCAGCCTGGCACAGGTCAGAGTATTTTGGTGGTTGCCATCTTCAAACGGTCGTATTTTAAAAACTATAACTCCTACAGCGAAGAGCTTTATATTGTGAGAATCACAAGACCCAGACCTACATTTTGATGCATAGTATGTCTCTGAAGTATTAAAAATGAAGGCACAGTCGCAGTTTAGAAATTGCCCTTCAAATTTGAGCTGGCTAGAGTGGAGTTTCAATGAATGTCAATGGACGGCGTGAGTTGCAAACAAATGGTAATATTGTGAAAACTATCAGGACTATGGCTTAGCCGTGGACATGTTTAGTGGCAGCAGGGATAGCTTAATGTTTTGATATAAGATTTGTGTAGGTGGGCTTGAAAATGAGGGAGTGGTGGCAGTTTAGAAATCATGTCCTGATTTTTCAGCTTTTGCCAGCTCCCACTTTAGCTTTGCCATTCATTCCTATGGGACCAATTTCGCCACAAGAACGACAATATTCCGTGAACCATTCGGCGAAAGGTTCCACAAAGTAATAGCAATCCGATCGGGAACAATCCGCATGTTTCGGTATATTACGGTCTATGTAGTGTAAAAACTGTGGTCTTGCTATGCAAGAACACTTAATAATATATATGTGAGATAATATTAAGTGGTCTTGCTATGCAAGAACACTTAATAAGCTGTAGTTGTTCTGGTGACTAAATTAATCAAACAGTATGTGTGGTCTCTCTTGGGAAAAAAAAAAGTTTTGTATTTTTTTTCTTTTTTGGAAAGAGTACAAAATAAATGCTGTAGGACTTCGATGTGTTTTTCTTTGCATACACCATAGGGCTCAGGTCAAACAATGAGATCATCCAAAGGGATCAGAGATTGACTTGTTAATGGTTGATGAAGAATACTCATGCAGGGTGATACTGTCACTTTCACTTTCATTTTTACCAGCTGTCATCATTTCAGAAATACAACTTACTTTCGTAGTAACAGCCATCCCAATCCATCTCAAAACTTGCTGCCAACAAACAAGTGATTCACTGCAGATTTTTTATTTTGTTCCAAATTTTAGCACCTACATATGTCAAAAAGAATGGAAGGCACAAATATTCGAAAATGACTCTCTCATGTTTTTGGTTTTATGATAATAAACTGGAAATCAGCTTAATTTTGTGCATCTTTTTCAATGCTCTGTGTTCTTTGCAAAAATATGTAAATCCTAAAAGGAATTCATTTAATTATTGTATATATTGTATGATACTATGTTACCTGTAAACCATTATTTTTTTTTTGTAAAATAAATGGAAAATAAAACAGTCTATGTTTTTGTTAACGTTTTCGTTATATGTACTGTGTTAAGATATTGTTGGTACACAACGTTCACAAGAGAAAAAAGAAGAAACAACCAAGGACACCCGCCCACTCAACAGGCTCATTGGCACCCTACAAGACACGCAATACACATAGCTGTAACCCATAACACATTGAAGTGACAATGATTATAAACACAACACTATTGATCACACACAACACCACTCACACACCTCTACACCTTACCTTACCTAAAATGAAGACGACAATTATACCCCAATCAGAGCCAACGGTCGGGCATAACCGACAAGACAGAATAGAATCACACCCTATCAGGGTTGACGCAGCTCCAAATATATATGGGATGGGCCTTAGGCTCAAAACATGGGCAAATGCACGAAAACAGTCCAGTGAAAAGGTGACGAACTCCATAACACCTAAGGGAGTGGATAAAGGTCATGAGGGAATCTAAAAGCGGAAGCCACAGGCTAAAGCACTCTGCCTACACTAGCTACACCCGAGAACCTCACGAGAACGCATGTCACACAAACGTAATGCTCATGATCTTGCTATGATGGCGACCTGCGTGTCCCACCTGACATACCCTACTGTGATATGTATCTATTGTCAAAATCTTCAATAAAAACAGATTTACAAAAAAAAAAAGATATTGTTGGTACAGCAAGACAATTTATTTTATTTTTTGTAGTCATATCATAACAACTTTGTCACACCTCCCCTGACTGTGACTGACACAGCCTGCATGAAATAAATGGTTTCATTTTCAATCAGATGTTAACTTGCTTTAGAAGTTTTTATCCTCTGCTCTGTAAATTGAACTTTAATCACACACATGAGGCTCTTGCGGGGTCAAGAAGGTTATTAACAGAACAGGAGATAAGAAATTATAAATTAAACAAACTGTGCAATAAAGGAAGTTTGATTTATAGGGGAGGTGTGACTAGGGCTGTAGAAACAGTGATTTAACTCCTAAATGGCAGAGAATGGAGCTGTGAGACTATAGGGGCATGATTTATACACCAACACTGCTTAAATAAGCTGAAGCTGTTTTGGTGCTTATAGTGTGACTTTAAGTAATTGTTAGGTCAGTCAACAGTCAAGTTACTTGTAGTGAACTTAGCACACTGAAAGCTAATTAAAGTTCTGAATGGGCCTTTTACCTTAGATACCTTTCAGTTGTCTCGACCCATCGTTACTGTCCAGGCTGGACAAGATTGATACTGATAATGGTTATGTAATTTGCTAGATTCAGAGTGGCCTATTGGGTTGGGGAAGAGCTCTGATTTTTTGTCATACCACTAATAAACAGTCAAACACACTGTGCATTGACTTATATCGTTATTCATTAAAGTAAGAACTGCCATGAAAATTAAATTGAATTTAAAGTGGATTTTAAACTTTAGGCCAAATCTGCCGAATTAGAAAATTTCTTCAAGTCAATTCTGTTTTCAGTTTGTCAGTTTTGGCCTTAGATTTGAACTAGACTTTGAATTCACTTTAAATTCCCAACAATTCTCATTTTAGTAAAAACCTGTTAGATTTCTCACATTTGCCCAATGATTATTTGCACATTAATTACTACACAGAACTGTGACTATATTAACAATAGTGATGTCCCGAACGGTTCGCGAACGTTTCGTCGCCGCGAACGGTTCGCCGAACGGTTCGCCGCGGACTCATCATTCCAGCCAATCAGCAGCAGACCCTCCCTCCCAGACCCTGCCAACTCCTGGACAGCTCACTAAGAATGCAGCTTCAAAATGGATGCTGTCCAGGAGGTGGGAGGGTCTGGGAGGGAGGGTCTGCTGCTGATTGGCTGGAATGAGTCCGCGGCGAACCGTTCGGCGAACCGTTCGTGGCGAAATGTTCGCGAACCGTTCGGGACATCACTAATTAACAATAAAACTCTCAGGAATATGTAAGAGAGCTGTATATAATATACTTGCTCTATCCTCTATGACACCCCAAGATCTGTTAGTGCCCGTGCTCAGGTAAGGCTCTGAATACGTTTCTCGTGCTTAGGGACACATTGGCTTGGCCATAGTCCTAACAGAATATAGATGCGGCACAAGGATCCTTTTAAGACCATCTGATGAAATCTCTAGGGTTAAACGCGTTAGGTGTGGATTTTTTTTATCTGTTTGGATTCTTTATATTTATATTGTTGATTTGTAAGTTGTAATAAAGTTAATCCTTTTTAGACTTATTTTGAATTCATTTAAATTTGACTTTGCTACTTACCTGGCTTCCTGATTTCACATATCCAAGGCGGGGATTATACCACCAACACCTTATAACACTAGAGCAGGCCCTTGCTCTAGACCATGTAAGTAGAATAGTCATTTTTTTACTACTCGTGATTATTGGCTTTTATATTGTGCCATTGGATATCTCACCTTTTGTTTCCACATATTGCACTGCTTGGAAAACACTATAATCACTGTGGAATTTATATTCTGAGATGGGGATTGTACCGTCCACGCTGAAAACAGCAGAGCTCTTAGTAGCTCAATAGAGTGTGAGGGCTTTTTAATATTTTGTATATATTTAAAGATGTATTACACTATATTTGTGTTTTGTTCTTTTTTCCCTTTTCTTGAGACATCTGACTACATACAGATACAATATCATATATATGTATGCATATGTCTTTTATTGTAATATTGCACGTTAAGGTTATCTGGTTCTAGGCGCGTTTCATCTACTTTTAATATTTTTTATTCTCGTATTTTCACACAGTTGGGGGATCCTTGTAAGATTTACTGCAGCCCCTTTTAGAGTAAATAATGAGCACCTAATTATGTATTTTCCTTTTAAGACCTACCAGCCTGTAACACAGTTAGATCTACACGCATATGCTCTTTAGGTGCAACGCAAATCCAATTTTTATATTTTAACTTATGCAACATTCTGCATACACCACTAACTGGATATTGTGTTTCTTAGCTTTGGTGTCTCAAAATATATTTCAGCAATAACCCTTATACCAATCTTTTGGGGTTTTAGTTAAAAAAAGCTTTTTCATTTATTTTTTTCTCACCCCAAACACGTCATCCAAAATATTCCTTCACGTCTTGATATCACTAACAAGCTGATTTGTGGGGTTCCAGACTAAATCAGATGTCCCCTACGATAGCCTCTCCGCACATCTGTAATGACTTTTTTAGACGGACTGTGTCCAAGTAAACTGCTGTCTAAATTAAGCTAAGGGGTTCTGGACTTGACACATTTTTCTAGCACTTCTTTTTAGAGGTAGAATTTTATAGACATTGTACCATGGGATAACATCATCTGAATCTGTACAATACTTGTCAGTAGCCTAGAGGTTTCAGCAGATGTAGGCTGAAATTATAGTGTGATTTTTTTTTTTTTCTTAATGTCTGCAAATTACAGTCACTGGACTGCAGATGGCAGTCTGTTTTAGTTTTTTGTTTTTTTTTAAGTTATTATCCTGCCCCAACAATTTTTTATTTATTGATAAGACAACATTAGCTACAATACCTTCGTATGAAATGCATTTAAGTTTCCTTTAAGAAGAGGTTATAAATTAATATAAAATCATATTGTTACCGGGATTCGCAGGGAGCGCGAATTTTGCCGGCATTTGTTTGACAGAGAGAATGGCGAACACCAGATTATAATAGCAAGAAGGTGGGCTGATTATTGGAGTGGTTTGTGACTGCGCATTTTAAGCTCTATTTATGACAGTGACAGTATTTGGAAAATTTATAATTTGTCTTTTGTGAATCCGCCTGTAAATGTTTAGAAGTGTTTTTTTCTTTCTCTTAATCTTCTCTGTGAATAGACAGCAAGATTTTCAATATTTAACCCTGTGATTTAAAGTTTAAACAGATTTTTTTTTTACAAAGTGTATCTAGAATCACTAATCTTTTCCATTAAAATATATACACAATGTAATAAAGTAATAAACATTATATCTATATATATATATATAAACGCACTGATCAGTCACAACATTAAAACCACTGACAGGTGAATTGAATAGCATTGATTATATAGTTATAATGGCACCTGTCAAGGAGTGGGATATATTAGGCAGCAAGTGAACAGTTAGTTCTTGAATTTCACGCATTGGAAGCAGAAAAAATTGGCAAGTGAAAAGATCTGAGTGACTTTGACAAGGGCCAAATAGCAATGGCTGGATGACTGGGTCAGGGCATCTCCAACATGACAAGTCTTGTGGGGTATTTCTGCAATAGAGTGGTTAGTACCTAACAAAAGTGGTGCAAGGAATGACAACCGGTGAACCGGTGTCAGGGTTATGGGCACCCATGGCTCATTGATGAACGTGTGGAGTGAATACTAAGCCGTCTGGTCTAATCACACAGAAGAGCTACTGTAGCACATATTGCTGAAAAGCTTAATGGTGGCCATGATAGAATGGTGTCAGAACATACAGTGCATCGCAGTTTGCTGTACATGTGTAAGTGTTCCCATGATGACCTTATCTACTGCTGAAAGTGCCTTCAATGGGGCCATGTGCCTCAGAACTAAACCATAGAGCAATGGAAGAAGGTCTGTTAAATCCCATTTATTTTAACATTAGGTGGAAGACCGGCTGTGTATGCATCATTTACCTGTGGAAGAGATGGCAGCAGGATGCATGCTGGGAAGAAGCCAGGCTGGTGGAGGCATTGTTATGCTCTGACCAATGTTTTGCTGGGAAACATTGGGTCCTAGCATTCATGTGGATGTTACTTTGACACATACCTAGAGATACCTAGAGATTGTTGCAGACCACGTACACTCCTTAATGGGAATGATGTTCCCTGATGGCAGTGGCCACTTACATCAGGATAATGCACCCTGCCACACTGCAAAAATTTATCGTGATTGGTTTGAGGAACTTTACAAAGAGATTAAGGTGTTATCTTGGCCTCCAAATTTCCCAAATCTCCCTCAGATTGACTATCGGTCTGTTGTGCTGGAACAACCAATCAGATCCATGGATGACTCACCTCGCCACTTGCAGGACTTAAAGGATCTGCTGCTAATGTCTTGGTGCCAGATACCACAGGACACGTTCAGAGATCTTGTGGAGTCCATGCCTCGATGCATCAGAGCTGTTTTGGCAGCATGAGGCGGGCCTAAACAGTATTAGGCAGGTGGTTTCAATGCTGTGGCTGATCAGAGGTAAGAGTAAAACAAAATAAAATTTAAGGTATCTAAGTAACTTTCAAGGCTTACTTTTGTGCATCATCGAAATTCTTTCCTTGATGCACTGTCACGGTTATTTACTGAAGTGAGAATTCAAATTTAAAACCAAAACTGTTGAACTGGAAAAAATCTCTAAGTCGGCTATGCTTCTTGGTCAACTAGTTATTTCGGGATGTCCGAAAGGTCCACACTTGTTCAGATCAACAGAGATCAGAATAAGATAAATAAACAAGAAAGCTATGGGAAGCAAGTTGCACAACAGTAAAATTAAAAATGAAAAGAATTGATTGGGCAATCGGGGCATTAGTCCAAGAGGTCAGTCAACATGAAAATATATTCTCAAGGTCAAGTGTGGTAATGGCAGCTTCATGTTGGAGCAACGTCCAATAGGAACTGGAAGCTGCATTCTTTTGAGGACAAGTAAGAAGAATACCAATTTAGCCAAGGTACTTGGGATTGGAGAAGACCCTCTGTATGAGCATTGCAGTGGCCTTAAAAACACTTGGGTGTTTTGAAAAAAGAAGAACTGACCACACCAATGGCCGGATATCATTCAAAATGACAGTCTATGGCCAAGAAAAGTCGTCAACCCGACAGAACTCACAAGCTTATTTTTGAAGGGAAATAAGCGAAAACAGGATCCAAAGTGGAGAGAAAACAAAAAGAATCATAGCGGGAATTACATAACATGCTTCTACTCGATAATGACTTCGAGTAGTCTGCTCTATTTTTTACATTTTTCTTTGTTTCTTTGTTTTTATTTATTTGTATTTTTGAGGAAGGTTTCCTTAAAGGGTTACTACAAGCACCATAACCGCTTTGTATTTTGGATCAACAGCAAAAAACAAATGTGAGGTAGGCTGAACTTGATGGACGCAAGTCTCTTTTCAGCTATGTAACTATGTAACTATAATATAAGTATTGCTCCTGGTTCTTGGACTCTGTATGTGTAGCATTTCAGTTTGAACTGCACATACAAATACATACACTGCACATACATACACACTGCACATACAAATATAACCAGGTGAGCTGACACAGGGGCATTAGTAGAATATCCTTAGCCAGCCCGAAACTTGAATGTCAATTCTGTGCCCTTTTCTTGCACAGAGTTTTATTCATTGGTTGAGGGAGCACAGCTGATGCTCTGCAGACGCCGGAAGAAATTAAGCCGACATCATGGGACCCTTAGCAGTGGACAACGGGACTGAGTTAAGACGGCTACCTGTTGCGAATTGTTTTGCCTCGTTAACGGGGAGCAGTGCCAATAACCAATACAGCAGAATGTGATCGTTATGATGCTTGGAGTAACCTTTTAGTGAAAGACAAAATTACAATAAAAATATTTAGCACATTGTAAGTGTTAATGTAACTCAATTGGTAGAAAACATATTTTAATCCATTGTAGTTCTAGATAATAGCACACCAAATTAAAGGGTAGTGAATACTTTGCCAAGGTTATATAATTTTCAGGGATAAAATGCATGTCTTACTATGAATTTAAGATGGCCTTAACAAACAAGAATAATTAAAATAATTAATAAAAAATAATTTTAAAAAATTACAAAATGTAAAAAATTATTTTAGGTCATTTGAAGACGAGGGTAGCTAGCAAGTAGCCCTATTGGTTACAAATGACAGAATAACAATTCC